ACAATGTCAAGCAAGTGTCGGTGACACGGGGATCAGATGGGTGGTCACTGGAGTGTGTCCCTGAGCAAGACACGACAACCCTAACTCAAAATACTACAGGGCGCTGCACAGTGGCGACCGACAGTGGCATTGTTTGTAAACTGTTCTGTATTTGTGTAATAGTGTGTATTTATGTATGTATTTATTCATGTATGTATTTATGTATGTACGTATTTACAACTATGTATTTATGTTTGTATGTTTGCTATTGTAAAACAAAGTGCCCTTCTGGGACAAATAAAAGTGTAATCTATCTATCTATCTATCTATTATCCTGGAGTCAAGTCGAGGAAACAGTGGCTGTATGGGGTGTGGTTACATTCTACTCAAACCAGGTGACTCTTTATAGCTGCCTCCTCCTTAGACCTTTCCAGAATTTCTTAAGGACTGCAATGTACTGTTAACTTATCACATCTGCGGTTTAGCTGTTCTCCTCAAACCAGAGTTAACCAATAATGGTGTGTCTGCTGAATGCCATTCAGACTGTGCACGTCTCTACATGAAGTGGGCGCACATATCACATTCTGGTGGGTGTTTGGCCCAGAATACAGACTTCCTAAAATTGATTTGCCAATCGAAATAAAAATGGGATTCATCCGATAACCATATTTCTTTTTATTTCGGTCACCAAATTTGACTTTCTTTCAAACTGCTGATCGAACCACTAGAACGTGTCGACACATGATGCGATGTCTATATGGTTCAGTTTTTGTTTTACCTCTATACGATACTGACGCAGACTAAGATCATAATCACAATATCCTTCGTAGGGACTCGCGCTACAGCCCCCCCCCCTCCCTTTAAACGAGTCAGCTCTCTAACTGACATTTCAGGATGGGTTTCGTTCAAGTCCTTCACACTCTTGATGTTTCTTTCTCGATGTTTGGCGTCTCCAAGAAAACGACTGGGGGTTCATTTGTTTTGAATTCAGGGTTAGTGAGGTAAAAGCGCTTAGGTACATTATCATACAAAATATTGACGCGAAATTAGCAAACTTTATCCCCACAACGTTGTTTTATACAACTCAATTTTCAACAGGATCGATCGATAGATATCGGCGTTTATGGCGTAGCTGTTAGGGTTTTGCGGTCGCACTTAGAAGACACAAGCTTGATTTGCGAGCTGGAAGAACATTGCTATCGAGTATCTCGGTCTTTCTGTTGGGACGTTATATCCCTCTTAGCCCGGGTTGCCTTAACAGGCAGGGTGGGAAGCCTGCTTCCTAACTGATCGAAATTGTGTCAATAGGAGCGTAAAAATCTACCTGCACATTAAGGTTGAAAGATGCCCTAATTATTAAGGAGATGGACTGCTTTTTTTGTGGCCACCCTTAAAGTACATTAAAGTTAACCCTCTTATTCGGATGTTGTGTACAAGGCCTAATTAAAGACAGCCATTTTGCCCTATTTTTTTTGCCAATGTCTCTAGGGGACTCCAGGTCCATATTCGTCTTCCCAGTCTCAACATTTCTTTTACAAGTATCGTTGGGTTTTCAGCTACGCCTTTTTCCTTCTGGAGTCTCAACAGATTCTAACTCCAGTTTTTGAATTTCGAGTAACTCCGATATCTGTCTTGTGATTTTCTGGGGAGTTTGTATAGACTTAAGTAAAAAAGGGAAAAAACCCAACTAAAACAGATTCAACAGTTCTAGTTTGAGACAGCTGAAATGTGTCTTAGTCATCCTATTTGTAAATCCTGCTCCTGTAGATGAGCGTATATTGTCTAAAACATCGTCCGCACGTTGGCAAACTACAGCACACCCATGTGAGTTCATGGTCATATCAACCAGCTTTGGATACTTATCAACAGACATCCAAATATTGCGTACGTCCTTGCAAATTGGGCATACTTTGCTCACCGAGAGGGCCCTATTTGATAATGCTTCGTACTCCATATTATGAATGAAAAACTTATACCCTAGGGGATTAAAGGCCATCCGTTTATTTACTCTTTACTTATTAGGTCCTGTGCCCACTTTATTTTCTTTCCAATTGTCATTCGAAGATCCAGACAAGCAAGATACGTTTCGAAACTCTGTCATGTACTTTTTAAAGTTCAAAGTTTAAGCCTTTGTGAGGTTCGAATTTTTCTCCTTGAAAATATTCCTTGTCATTCTAGAGTCCTGTCGGGGGTCCAATTATTTTGTCTTTCAAGACGAACTAAAAAGGAATCGAACTCGAACGAATGGAAAGAAAACAAACACCCATACAAATACAACGCTAAGAGAATAAATACTGGCCCTTTTTCTAGAGACGCTAAGAAACGCTAAGAAAATAATACTGGCATTTTTTTTTGTTCCAGAGAATGAATAGAAACCAGCTTCAGGACATTATGAGCGGCAATATTGGCACTGACAACACCATGGAGGACGTATTAACACCATCCACCCCTCGTCCGGAGGATGTGAACTGCTATGTCGAAATTCCTACCGTAAGTCCCGTATTCACACACAGCTCCCCCC